TTTTTAACAGTACTGTGTCATGTATCTCTTACAGTTATTTACATTTATTGCTATACATTTTTATTTCTCTGTTCTAACCAATGTATAGCAATAAATGTAAATAACTGTAAGACGTATCCCATACCTATCCCATACCTCATAAAATTCTGTTTCTTCCTTGCCTTTCATTTCCAGTGTAAGCTTATACATCTCGGCACATCCTAATATCTCACAGATAATCATATCATTAACTGGTATATTTTCACGTTTCCAGCATTGAGCATAGACAATACGTGCTGCTGTTACTATGTGTACATAGTTAAGATAAGATGTATAGGATAAGATGTAAAGTTTGTCTGCTATGATTTATTCAACAGATCACTATTAAACAAACTTTAGCGTAGAAAAATATATTAAACTCATAATAAAGTCCCCAAAATTGACTTAGTATATCTTGAAATTAACTCACGAGAAATTCTAAAATTCAGGGGGATTATTCTTTAAATTACTATTAAATTAATACAATTATTTATTTATTTTACAAAAATACACATTAGTGTAACAGGAAGAAACTCTGGTTCAATCTATGAACCACTTCAAAATTGACATTGTCTCAGCAATGAATGTTAAATGACACTTTTTCCGGATCTGTAATTATACTTCTCTTTCCAAAATCTAGATGGTTATAATGGCAGGACACAATGCTTACATTCATCTAGCAGTAACAACTAAGTAATTATGCCTGAGGTTATTAAGTGTCTCTCCCTTTCCAGTACACCAATTATTCTAATTCACGAGGGAGGAAGAATTGAAGCAAAAAAAAAATGAATACAAAGATGGATCATAATAGTTAGAAACAGGTCCCAATCCCTTGTCCACTATGTCAAACTGCTCACTGACCTTTTCTAGAAGGTACAACAACAGGCACAATCTCTTTATCAAAATATCCAGCCTTCTGTGCATTTTCAGCCTTATTCTGAGACATTACAGCCTGCTGGTCTTGTTCTTCTCGACTGACCTTCCATCGTTTGGCCAGATTTTCAGCTGAAACAATTAAAAAATACAGTAGATACTCCAATCACAATGTGTCACCATGCATTTACATTTATTACACTGAATCTTCAAATAGTAATGACAGAGAATGCACTGTTTCCAGCATGTAATGTTCACACATTCATACCAATTTTGAATTTCGTTTTGTTGGAAATTTATTTACACTTAAGACATGAGTGCACAACACTACAGGCAAAGAAATGCTATTCTGAAGTCCGGTGAGGTTGATCCTACTTGATTAGCTGATTAGGACAGAAGAAGCTATTGAAAATCAACTGAGCAAGAGGTGCAAATGGCTGCAAAGTGATAGAAGGCCTTTGAAAATTATTTATTTTCTAACGATATATATATTAATTAAATATAATTAAAACTATACAATAGATGCAAATAAATTTATTATATCATAAAATGTAGTTATTTATTATTTTATTATTTATATCACAGCTCTTGGCAAGAGCTCAAGATATTGTCCACAGCACTCCTTCCTCCTATTTTGGTAGGTTGGACAGAGAGAGAGTGACTGGCCTGAAGTCCAGTGAATCCTCCCGGCAGAGAATAGATTAGAATCTATTGAATCTACTGCAACATCCTAACTACTGTGCCAATATGGCTTTCAGTGTGCATCAATGACCTGGGAGAAGCGCTTTGCCTGGGGAATGTGGCCCTAAATAGGGCTTCTTTCTCTTTACTTTTTTTCCCCTAGAACATACATGCCTGGACATATATAGGTATTTTCATGCTTTTACAGTCTGGGGGTACAGGGATTCATAGCAATTACAGCTGGCAACCCTACATCGAAGCTGGACATTGCGCAGTATTTTTCCTCTCATCCTTGTAATTTTTGCTTTCTGTCCACTCTTTTTTTGGTGAAATAAAGTTGGGACACGCTTCCATCCAACCTTTTTGAAAATGCTGTTTCCACGTGGCTTACCTGTAACACCCATGTGATAACAGTAGAAAGCATCTGTCAAGCCATCTACGATAAGACTGTCTTGCAAAGAGGTTTCTCCCATCTTCACCCCACCACGCAGATGAATGACATGAGGAGCCTGAAAAAAGCATTTTGACCCATTTAGAACATTGAAAGCAACTTTCTCTCTGGAGCGCCCATTCTCACTGTATGACTCTTCTGTTCATCTGCCATTAGCAAATCTAATATAGAGAAGCAATCCCAACTCAGTTATAGAGCACTTGCTTTGTTTGCATGCTTTGATCCCTGATATTACCCAGTAGAAGAATCACTTAATTTGTATGAAGGCGAAAGAGTGTAAGAAAAAAGAAGCTTCCATATTGCTTTCTCCTGGATTCGAGCTGAGAGGAAGGTGAAGGCTTGAAATGAGCTAAAGAATAGTTCACTTTAAGACTAGCGGCATATCCAGCTGAAAGAAGTATACACACCCAGTATATGCACAATAATCTTCCTGCTATTTTTTATCAGAAGCAACAGTGAGACAAAAGGATCAGAAGAACAGTTTGGCCTCTGCCATGGAAGTTTCAGAAGTCATTGACTCATTCAAAGATGAAATGTCAGGCCACAGTCCAAATGCCATCAGCATGAAGGGATGCCGAACAGCGAAATCTCTTATTTGCTGATTGTGCTTATGTATCTGTCTGTCGTGTATGTGTATGTTTGTGTATGCACGCAATGATTTTTATATATCCTGCGTGAGCTGCACTGGCTGCCTATGGCCTTCCGGGTGCGCTTCAAGGTGTTAGTAACAACCTTTAAAGCGCTCCATGGCAATGGACCTAGGTATTTGCAAGACCGCCTCCTACCACATACCTCCCTTCGACCAGTCCGCTCCCACAGAGAGGGCCTCCTTAGGGTGCCATCGGCCAGTCAATGCCGGCTGGCGACCCCCAGGGGGAGAGCCTTCTCTGTGGCAGCTCCTGCCCTCTGGAATGACCTACCCCCCGACCTACGTACAACTG